ACCCATTAAACCCTCATAACTAAACTCTAATAGAACATAATTAACTCAAACATAAATAATATAAAGAAACATTATTTTTGAAAAAGTAACATTGTTGTAAAGATTTCAAAAATATCGTATTTTTGTAAAGTGGCACTTGAGAAGTAGTATTTTTTAAAATTTCTCTTGATTTATACAAATTAGTATTACATATGCACTTTTATTCATATAAAATAATATTGTATATTTTTTTTTGTCAACAAATAATAGTTTATATATATCACTGTAAAAATATTTTTTCATCTATATTACTCTATATATATCATTAATTTTATTTTTTAAAAATTATATGAGAAATAAGTATCTTATAAGATATACCTAATACTTATCAATCACACTTTAATTTTAAAATAACTACAGCCAAAATTCTACAACTACAGCAAAAACGTCTACAGCCCAAATTCTACAATAATTAATCTACAGTTACATCCCAACCAGTCACCCACTAAACTATCCCTTTTTGTTCATCTTGATTTTATTAAAACTTACGATTTGAGAATACAAAGTCCGCCGGATAATGAAAATCTCCAGAATACAAAGCCCACAAAAGGAAGACATATGCCCACTAAAGAGAAAAATATGCTCCCACAAGAGAAACATAAAAAAAAAAACTAAGCAAAATGCTAGAGATTAAAGGCAGAGAAAAGGTCGAGCTAAGAGAGACACGTACGAAGCGATACACAATACCAAGATCAAACATGAAGATTGGAAACAGATTAAGACTCTAAATGCACTCAAATCACCGAGAAGGGTAGGAGGCACGAACCCACTCAAAGTAGCCAAGCCAAACATCCAAAAGACGGGATACACGAACTGTAAAGAGACCCGCTTTTGATGGCAATGTCACGAACCACAAACTCCGCCCGTAGCAAACCACGTAAGGTTGATAAAACTAGCCAATTGAAGAAGGAAAACTGAAGACGACAATGAAAGCAGTTGTGCCGCACCAACGACAAGTGAGAAACTTGCACCTATGTCACTTTTTACAACAATCTTTATAACAATGTCATTTTTACAACAATTTTTCTTTATATTATTACAACAATCTTTACAACAATATCACTTTTTCAAAAACAATTTTTACAACAATCTTTACAACAATTTCAAGTTTAAATATCATAATAAACAAATTAAAAAAAGCAACACCGTTGCATATTATTATAAATTATCCAACAAAAGTTTTCAACTTTCAAGTAACAAAATAAAAATATCATCTTAAGATAAATAAAAACCTAAAACCAATAAAACCAAAACCATAAAACCATAGATTAATTTTAAAAACACTTCAATCTTCGTTGGTTTCATCTGCTTCCTTGGATGTTTCTACT